AACATTTGATGTTTGAAAGTTAAAAGCTGAAGATGAAATACTGGAGTTTTCATTCTTGTCGTCATGCTGGTTAAATCATGCAAACAGTATTTCTGGCCAAATCTTACATGAGACACGTAGAAGAAAGTAATTTTGGTGAACTATCACTATTTTAGGCTCAATTCTGGTTACGTTTTTTCTGACAGAAGCATTTGTCGCAAATCATGTGTTCAGGGACCGTCAGATATTTGAAAATCAAATGATAATGGCTATGAAAAATTGTGTAATTTCAGCGATTTTAAAAGAAAACGTGCCCTCTAAATCAATTGTTTTCACATGCTTTCTTTTGATATTTAAAGAAAAAATACCTTGGAATGCATGTTTTCTTTAAAAAATCAACTGTAAAATACAAGATAGTCATTTAAAGTTATGTTTCCCTCCTCAAAGCCAAAATAAAAAACATAAGTCCCTCCCCAGAGCTTAAAAATAATTTGACATGCCTCCCATTTTTTGCACCTCCTCTTCCCCCCTCATACATAACAAACAGTTCCTAAGGATAAAGGTTTACGGGGAACAGGCCAAGTGAGTGGAAAACGCAAGTACCAGAATTTGCTCAAAAACATAAACTGATGTCCAATGCAGGTCGCCTTCCCTTCCACATCTATCTTTTCCTCTTATGTGTTGTGTTCCCTCAGCAGTGCTTTTACATGTCTGTTACGCTCTTACCTACACTTTCCCTCCTGTCACTCAGTTTGTGCCCTCTGTCTCTCTGTCAGCTGTAAAATGTGATAATTATATGTTGAGCATATATTGTTTGCTCTCTCCTTCTTTATTTCTACAGTATCATCACTCCATTGTTCTTTTCTATCATTTCTACCTCCATGTAATCCATTGTTCTGCAACAGTCTTTTATAAAAGAGATTGAGAAAAGGCCCGGCAGACTTTATGGACCACTGGATGGCTCGCCATGCTGTGGGGACGTTAATGCAGTTCTCTTTGAATTGGAGCTTTTATTTGATTATTTCTTTATTCCTGAAGTTGAGAGATAGCCTTGATTTAAATGTTATGTGGAGCAACAAGTAAATCTGGTGGATCAGATCTCCAGATTATAGCAGTCTGCTCTCAGTGAAGTACCTTATTATTTGCCAAAATTGCTGCAATTCATCAAACATAACCAGTTTTTCTAATTAGGGCATTCAGAGAGCTGACAATGACATTGGTAAATATGTCTGTTAAGATACGTGACTTCACATTACACATGAATAGCATTAATGTGAAAGCTTTAACTATAATAATTTCAAGAAATCACTTTTTCTAATTATCATGCAGATTTATGCAGCGAGGCATTCTAAAATCTAATCAGATCAGGTAACTGCAGTATGAGAATCAAGTTTGTGTATTAGTTTGTGCTTGAGCTAGAATGCCTTTGAGAAATAATGACTGTCTCATGAATACACAAAATCCTTTGTAACCTGGTGACTGGACAAAGTAATATCACACCAACAACAACCATGTAATGAAAGCAGATGGTCCTACAGTGTTTCAACTATCCAAAGCAAGGAGTTTGTACTTTGTGAAAAATAATTTAGGACATTAACATTATAAACAAGCAGTGAAGAAACATGCATGCTAACTAATGAATGCTGCTATTGTGCACTTTGCTTCTTCTTCACCATTATTTACTCCAATTTTATCCGAAAGGGTTTATTTTATGAGTACAGTGTGTTGCTTTTATTTGTTTATGATCCAAAGATAAATCTAAACAATAGACAATTCAGTTTTTCTAAAACTAAATTACATTTTGTTTTCTCTTGTACTGCTGTGATCTAATTAAAATGTGTTTTAGTTTCGAGATTTAGATTTTTAACTCTTAAACAGCTTCCACAAAGTTCCTACAGGTTTGGACCCTGACACACCAAGCCAACACATTCTCACTTCGACCTTGTCACACATTGACGTTTTGGTCGTGGACTGTCCACATCCACATACGACGTGCAAGGTACCCTGGGTGCGTTGATTGTTGAAGTTCTGGGACACTGTGTCACCTTCTTTCAAGATACGCTTCCGTTTTCACAGGAAATTTAACGTTTACATACAGTCTTTTTCAAAACAAACGCACTACGTCAGTACAACACTGCATATTGACGTTTTTTTTTCCTTCAACAACAAACACACATGGTTAGGTTTGGGCAACAAAAGGAAGTGGTTAGGTTTAGGAAAAAAGAACAGGGTTTGGCTTTAGAATCTTACAGAACACAAACACTGCTCTCTCGGGTAAAGGTCAGTGTTTGTTGGACCCATGCGCCACCCCTCCCGCCCACCCAACTTGGACTATCGCCACTTTAACCTTCGGCCTTGTCCCGCCATGTTTACCCCTGGCACCGATGGGCGCCGTTAAACTATAACAGCAACTGGCTGTGTATCATGCCGACCTTAAAGGGCGTCTTTGTTCGTTGGTTCAGCAAGTCACTGCCCAAGCGCCTGATTTCGACAATTTCGGAGTGAGACCGTGCTCACCAAGCCGAAAACCGGCTGTTGGTCAATGTCGGGTTGCCAGTGAGCATCTGTCACCCCAGTCCTTGCCATGTGTCCCACACTGTCAGCCCTCATTGGCCCTTGTCTGCTTTTTTTTTTTTTTCCCCCCAGCTGATTCACTTTCTTGAGCTGAGAAGTGAGATAAAAACAAAGTTGTTATATTAGGTAAGGCTATTCTTTTTAGCTGTTGAGCTAAACGATTTGTAATTGTTGTGGTACTGTTTTCTAGTGCACAATAAATGTGCTTTATGTCTTCAACTTTGTGTTGTGTTGCTAATGTTCTAACTGGCTAACTACCACCTTGAACGTCCTGTCCATCTTCCCTTCCCTTTTTTAATGCAAATACCAACCATCGCCACCTGCTGGTGTGGATAGTTATTTCCTCTCACACAGGTGCAGAACGTGCATGCTGGTTGGCTATTGGTTGGTTTAGTGTCTTTGCAGTGTGTTTATATGCAACTTTTTCGCCAATACACAGGCAACGTGAGGCCACACTTGGACTTCGTCACCACTAGTTCTTTGATGTTGGTTTGGCGTGTCTGGACCTTAAAGGCAAGATAGCTTTACGAATTTTTCATGTCATTCAGGATTAAATTTACTATCAGTTTTACAACAACCAAGAATTAAGAAAATAACAACATGAACTGCCAATCAATTACTAAGGGTGTGGGGCAATTTTGCTCAAATGTTAATTGTAAATTATGTAACAAGACTTGGCAATTTTGTGTTTCTCACTCTGCATGTGGGATCCCACTGCCTCCAATCCCATCATACAGAATTTGAAAAACTTAAAAATACACAGAGTCTCATATGCATTGCCTTGTATGAGCTTTAGCAATGTCACAAAATCTTGGTCAAATAGCCAAGTTCTGTTGAATTTGTGCTTTACCATGATGTCCTGGGTACAATTACATCTAGCTAGGAGACAGTGAATCCTCTGCTCTGAGCAGAAACAAAATATGACTGTTGTCAGTTCTGCTATCCTGATCTACGTAGTGTTAATGCAAGAGGCACTCAGTATTTTTTTTTATACATTATTTTGAGATTTTTGCCATGCAACATTAGAAAAAAGCATTTCATAAAATTCTATTTCCCGTGTCTTTGCATGTTTAGGACTTGTGAAAGATTGATTTAAGGCATGTTCATACCAGTTAAGGCCTTATTTTTAAATTAATAAAGTCAATGCCTTTTAAGGCTTCTTAAGGATCCACAAAAACCTTGTTCTAGCTGCAGAAAATGTTTGACAATGTTTTTTTCACTCAAATTAGCTTATAAACAAACAAACACACTAGTTCCTTTTTCCAGAGTAGCCTATTCAACCACATGGCGTTTGAACAAATTCCATCTGTTGGCAGGAGATGTGGCTGAAAGCTCTGGACAAGCTAATGAGATTCATAAAATAATGATAAGATATAATTTGCCAAACTATCTCCAAGATCAAGAATGATATTTCATACTCAAATATCTTGGACCGACTCAACCTTTATCAAATAAACTGAACTAAATATACCTTGAAAATCAAACACACAGTATGTTACCAATACCATTACTCATACCAACAAGATAGCTGCAGAGAATCTCTGTTGCATGTCCCATTTTCTCCAAGAGGTAGGCTGCATCAAAAATCTAATAAAAACCCAACCTCAGCCCCATATGGATTCTGTCATTTTTCTGTGAGGGACTTAAACATGGCTAAGCCTATTAACACGACATTATTTAAGGATACATTTCAAAGCCATTGTTCTGTTTCTGGATCAGCGATTCTTCTTGTGCGGCCTGGTTTGTGCCAAATCTCTTGTATCCCGATCCCACAGAGATTTTTTTTTGTTTTTTTCACTTGTTATGTACTCTTTTGTTTCATGCTGTGAGTCCTTTCAGAGTTGAGTCGACGCGCTGTCAGGAGCTTCAACATGACGTCAGGCTCACAGAGGAGGTCAATTAACAGCAAACTCAATCAGCTGAGAGACTGGGTTAGAATGAGAAGCAGCACTGAGTGGTGGGAGGCTGATGCATCTTAAAAGAAAGTATGAGAGAAAGTTTTTCTCTACATTTCCTTATTATCTTAAACAGAACAAAAAAACTAATACTAGATATCCTAAATAAAACTATTACGACTTTCATGAATGAGTCACCTAAAATATAAGTAGATTATCTTAGAGATAAATGATTCAGTTATTTGTTTTTTGTCTGTAAATCTTAATTAAAATGGTTGCAGTTAACATGATTTTGCAGGTTCTTCAAGGTGGCTGTTAAATTTAATCCCACCCAGGTGCTATTTTCCTCATGTTAGGTATTTTAAAATAATCTTTTACAGAAATCACATCCAAGAAACATTATTGTAATTACTGCTGGATAATGAAGCAACAACTTACAAAAAGATGTCTATTCCTGCCTCACTAATCACTATCAGTATTTGGCCCTGGTGATTGTGCAGTGTGGTCAAATTATTGGTGAACAGTTCACAATGCAATGTTTTCTTTTCCTACCTTGGCAGCCATGACCATAGCGGAGCCTCCCCTTATGCCCAGGATGGGGATGTGTGTCTGGGCAGAGATGAAGTCCAGGATCTGAGCGATGGCCTCTTGGTCTGTGTCATCACCGAACACTACGCCTTGCAGAGAGTTCCTCGTCATTTGTGCGCAGATCCGATTGATGATACTCTTGGGGTCTGTCTCATTCATTGTGACCACCTCGACTTTGGGAGGGTAAGGGATGTGGAGGAAGTCTTCTTTCTCAAGTCCAACCCCCAGGGTTACTTCACTAGAGTTGCCCACCAGGATGACAGCTATACTGAGCGAGTTGATCAGTTTGGGATTGATTGGGGGAAGAGCCGGCAAGGCAGGAGAGTACTGAGGAGGAATGGCAACGCCTCTCTGACTGCCGCCTCCCCTCTGGCCACCTTGTCCTCCTGGAGCACCTCCAGGCCCAGTCCCTGGACCTCCACCCCTGCGAGACTCGCAAACGGGCAGAAGGAGTATTGAGAGTAGGAGCAGGGAGAAGGACAAGGAGAGGAAGGGCAGGGTCAGCCGAGGCTGAGAACAAAGATGATAAGAGGACTGGTCTGAAGGAGGAGGGGGAGGAGGGGGAGGAGGGGGAGGATGATGAGGCAAGGAAGGGGAGACGAAGCGCTTGTCCTGAAGACGGGAGGGAAAAGGGTGGAGGCTGACAAGCATTGTGGAGGAGTGTAAATGCCGTCCCTGGAGGGAGAGAGAGGGAAAGAGAGACAAAGAGGCAATAAACAAAAACAAAGTGTAAAAATACAAGACCAATTTCAAACTTGCTGGCTCAATCTATATCTGCCAACATTAGCATATCAGAGATACATATCCATATATTATATGTCGGCTGATGAATAATCAGGAATTGCAGTCAGGGTTGGAAATTAGCACCAGCCACCATGCAGCAAAATGCTGGTAAAATATGCAAGAGGCTGCTAGATTTGCTTCACACACCAGGCAAAAACACAATGGTAATCCATTGATTGGATGCTCGATCTTGGAATCCACCAGCCACAGTGGCAGGTGGGAAGAAAGTGAATTTCCAACCCTGATTGCTGTACAGAAATGCCAAAGACATGTTTGTCATTATTTAGAAACAGTATCACCATTCCACAGTTTGTACACCAAAGAGCACTGACAGCCTTATTTTTTCAGCTGTAAAATGTCCTTCTCAGTACATTTGGTGGTCACAGTTACATAAATTAAAGGGGCTCAATGTGAAATTCAGAGTGCATGAGTTGTCTGAACAGTTCTCATCATGGAGGTGGCTGAGCCGGCGGCTAGCAGCTTATGGTGCGAACTCCATAAACAGCGCTAAACAACAGCAACAGTGCTGACAGAGCTAATGGTGTTAATCACGGGGGAACCAGATGGTGGGTGCTAGGCTTCTGCAACAACGCTATCACGATATCAGGACTACAGAAGTATTTCGCTGTATCTAATCGTATTGTGGCAGACTTTGTAATATCTGCAAATATTGTATCGTTGTCAAAAGAATCGATTTCATATCATATCATGGTGATACTAGTGATTTACACCTCTACTGGAAAGATGGTCTTTTAATAAAACTGGGCTGTCTATGCCAAATACTTTTGAAATTGGTGCTACATGACCAGAGAAAACAGAGAAAAAGACCTGTGGCTCCAGAGGTAGAAAACCTACAACTACCATAATGCATTGCACCACATCAGACCAAAAACTGCTCCTGCTAGTAGGGTTGTCAAAAGTATCGATACTCTGAAAAGTATCAATACTCAAACGCTGTATCCAGATACAATACTAATTTACAAAAGTATCAATACTAACAGTGCAGGCCACCTCAGCGCCTGTCAGGTGCGTGTGATGGGTCCGACGGACACGGGCTGTGCAGGCAGTGTCTGGCAGGCACAGAGCCTTCGCTGCAACCCGGCTTGTTGTCATCGCTGTGCATGCATGCACACATTTCTGTTGCTGTAATATGGCCAGCGCAGCTGCAGGAGGGTCAGAGCAGCCAGTTTTGGTCAAAAATGATAAAGGAAAAAGTGCTCTTTGGAAATATTTAGTGAAGTGAACACAGCACGCTGCAGACGGCAGGTACAGCCTCTCCCCTCACTAGCAGCTGAGCAGCTGGTGTCGCCAGCATCAAGCTAAAATATAACTTCTATGTTATGTGGGAGCTAAGCAGAAAACTTTATCAGTCATGCCCGTGTGTAACATTAATAGACAACAACACAATTATGTGTGTCTGAAAAGTTATGTTAACTGCAAAGTCACAGATTGAAGCTGAAAAAACGTTTGGTTTCTCCCGTAACCCCTGGTTCTCTGATCACATAGTGAGGTAGAAACAGGAGCATCCTGAGCCTAAACTACCAACTCTATTTGATCAGCAACGAAAATATGGTGGCAATTCACCAGAAGGACAGAAAATAAACAGGGCTGTAGATAAATACATTTGTATGGACAGATCTTGTTTCTGGTTGTTATTTATTTTGGGGGGATTTTTGGTTGTTATCATTGATGTTACTGTCTTATCTACTACTCTTACTACAACTACTGTCTTGTATCTTTATTTAAAAAATGACATTCCTCTTAATTTTTTGCTGCTGTATCGAAAATGGTATCGAGTATTGAACATTTTCCTGGGTATTGATACTGAGTTTGAAATTTTAGTATCGTGACAACCCTACCTGCTAGTAGGTGACATTATGTGAACTTGTCTGTTTTACACAATGGCAGCTGCTTGGTAACAAACCATGTTGTATTACAGCAAACATTAAGCCAAAACATGTTTCTGAAAACATCTGAGGTGAGAAATAGCCAGTGCAGTAACACAATCTTGGTTTATATTTAACCAGCACCGTTTAGTTTCACTGTTTGATCTCAGTTCAGCCTCCGTTTCTACTATGTGGGAAACAGTCCGGCACCCACTTCCTCTTCACAAACTCTCGCTATAACAGCTAAACAGAGCACTATGCCGCACTCCAGCAAGTTTTACTGGGAAGGGCGATGAGCTAGCTTGCGGATACACATTCTAACATGTATGCACAGCTGGACCAGTTTACCACAACAAACCATAGAGAAGCTCAGATTACAACGCACACCGAGTGAGTGTAACTTTATCCTCTGTTCTAGATGCCATAACTCCACTTTATCTATAGCAAACAGTGGTTTGCTGTTCTGAATGTCGCGTACAGAACCATTAATAATTATAATTTCAACATAAATAAAAATGCAAGGGATCCTTATCAAAAATGTTTGTTTATGCTATACGTTATATTAACAAAAAATATTGGTTGGTGAATTATTTTCTTTTTTTGTTGTTGTTGTTAAATCTCAAATATTGATATATGTACCTTAAGAATCTAGAAGACCCATAGAAGATACAGTTGTGTTATTTTAAACTTATCTAGCAAGTTAAATTTTCATCTACTTCATCTAAATTTCAGAGGGACTTTCACAAAAAGAAATGGAGCATACCACTCAATTTTTCATTCTGTATTAACTATCATTTTGTAATACTGAGAGGAATGGTTGTTACAAAAGAGATGAGCATCTGATGAGGATATTAATTTATTTGAGTTGCTGCAAAATACACTACATCTGCAATTGTCAAAGTGGGCAAATATGATAAAATAACACATGAAGTAAGAGCTAACTTATTTTGGATAAGTAATTTCACAGTTTTCTAACATATATTCACGTAATACAAATTCTTTAATTTCTTGTTCTTCTCGTCTGATAGAGCCACACTGGGCAGAGCAAGTTTTACTAACTGAAAAAAATATTCTGTAATTATACCATTGCTGTTGGCTCCATGTTATGAATGACGCTAATAAAGAGTATTTTCCGGTATTGGTCAGGGTCTAAAGACATACAGATGACTCAACCCTTTAATTGCTGAACCAAGTGACCCAGATAGCACGGTATCAAACCACACACTGAGAGAGGCCTGTAAGCTCTCATAGAGCATCAAGTGACAACGCCACATCCATTATACTGTGCTGTGACTTCCTTGGTGGAACCCTGTGGCACACATCAAAGACAGAGCGGGAAGGAGATAGGAGATGTGTGTTTGTGTGTGTGTGTGTGTGTGTGTGTGAGTGTGTGTGTGTGTCAGGACAGCACTGGGTGCATTTTGACAGATTGACAGCCTCACAGCTTCATGGACTAGCTGCCAGGCTAAATGACCATTAGACACTCAGACCGGGCTCCACTGAGTCTGTCTCTCCTTTTTGTCTCTCCCCCCATCTCTTTCCCTCCCACACTACGTTTATTGCTTTTCTCCCTTTTACCCTCCAAACATGTATTCTTTCAGTTGCTCCCTCCAACCCTCTGAGATCCCTTCACTGCTCTTTGAAGTCAACTGCAGACCTATTATTTACTATTATTGCTATTATTTACGGCTCCTCTATTAGCAGCCGTGCAAAGAGCACATGGAGTAGAGTACAGAGGAGAAATGTTCACGAAAAAAAAGAAAGCAAGAGAGAGAAAGAGAGAGGCTGAGTGAAACATGTGAGCAGAGGGAGGTGACAGGCAGGGGAAACACAATTAGTCATAGCCTGATGTGAAAATTGTGGTTTCTTACTGTGTGTGTATGTGTGTGTGAGTGTATCGGGGGGACAAATTTGGGTATATTTTCTGCATAGATAAAGATGTGGAATCTTAATGAGTATACGTTCATGCTCATATTCTAAATTAAGCACGATGGAGCACTTTCAGAGAGGGATAAATGAAGGGCAGAGTAAAAGGCTTGCTCCTCTTCTTTGCTAGCACAACACCTTTGCTAATCTTTTATTTATCAAGCACCCCGTGTGTTGAGGAGCTGATCCAGTCAGCACCAAGTCCAAAGAAAACAAAGAGAGAAGTTGGGAGGAGAACTGAAATCCGGCAGAGGCAGAAAACAGCGAGGAGTAATCTGTAAGACAGGGCGGGCAGAGAGTGAAGAGGCCTGAACTGTATTGAAAATAAGAAGAGGAGGAAATGTGATCTCCACATAAAAAACAGTTTGTCTAAAAGGTCTAATTACCAGAGGTTTGTCAGGCTTAATTGCAGGTGCACATGCTAATTGTAAACGAGCTGAATTTTCCATGGGGGCGCCACAGAGGAGCAGACAGATAGAGAGAGAGAAAGAGAGAGAGAGAGAGAGAGAGAAAGGGAGAGAGAGAGAAAAGGAGGAGGAGGAGGAAATGAGTGGGAGGAAGGCAGCAGAGAGAAGAGAAGAGTGGGGCGAGGGAAAGAATAAATAGAGACATACACAAAAGAGATGGAGGTGGAGGAAGGAACAGCAATAAGAAACCCAGAGGAGGGAGGGAGTGAGGGAGGGAGGTGTGGAAGGGCAATACAGCTGAGGAACGAAAGATGAAAAGAGGACATGATTAGCACAGGATGATAAAAGAAGAGTCAAGGGTGGGGAGGAGGTTAAAGAAATCTAAGGAAAAAAGAAAACTGAGCAAGGAAGAAGGAAATGATCTCAATCCACAGCGTGTTGCGGGAAAAAAGGATGGAAATTCTGCTAAAGGGCTGATGAATCTACTGAGAGGGACACCAGAGGGAAACTATTAGAAAAAAACCTTTGAAAATAATGCAAGAAGTGTGACAGTGAACGAGGGAGCAGAGAGAGAGAGACAGAGACCCACTCGGATATGCGTTTCTGTATAACAGCAGTGCTCGGTTTCCATAGTAACAATTCAAATATGCCTCCACATAACACCCTGATGGAC